CCTGTGCCATGTGCGGGCGGCACTGCTGTGTGTGTCCATGACCTCATCCTCCTTAGTGATGGCTGTGGTCCCACACAGGGGATTAAGTGGTAATTTATACCCTTTTGGGCTCCTGCACAGCCATGGGGAAGCATGTCACCTTCTGTTGAACAGAAGTGAACGTAAGAGAAATGTGGTGTGTGATCTCAGGACATTCCTGATCTTCTCTGAAGCCTGAAGCTTCTGTGGGCTTCTCTTCCCTATTCGGTGAATCCAACACTGCAGTGATTGATCCACCAGCAGTCAATTTATCACACCTGATTAGATGCAATAATCTGAGTGCTTTCCCGTCCACTCTGGTACTCCTACTTCACTAGGACCGGAGGAGTAGCTGGAGTCAACAGGAGCGCAGCCCCCTCTGGCCTTACTGCACTGAAATCACCGTGTAAGTACATTGAGTTCAGTGACGCTGTTCATGGAGCTGACATTAGATAGGTGAGACTGGCCGGGGGTGAAGAGTGCAGCGTAGACTAGGGGGGGGCTGTATCTCAGGACACATTGCCTGTACAATGACAATAAATGCACTACCCTGCCTCCCAAGGCTGCTGAAGTAAATACATTGAAGCTTGGGAGGTGCTCAGACACTATGATAAGGATGTGAAGGGCTCTATAGACTAAGTACCTGACCTATGGTGTCTTCATTAGAAATATTAAAAACGTCTTATGGTCTTGAATTTAAATGCCATTTTTATTTCACAAAACATGGCACTGAGAAGATTAGATAGGAGACACTTGAAAAGTATTGAATACTTGGAAGAGGAGGTGCTTAAAAACAAACTCATAGGCTTTGACCCAAGTGTACTATGGAAGTGCGAAGGTGGTTGGAGAAACATTGACATACTTGACTTTTCAGTCAGATCATGAGCTTGGATTTTCTTCCATTGTGTAATGATTTTATAATCTTAAATTCATTCACATGTCCCTGCAATACACCAAAATCGTAAACACTTCTGCCATACTTCATGTTCACAGATTAGCAAGAGCTGTTTCTGCACTACAACATCACAGCAGGGCTGTGACAACTGGATTTACTGGAAATGTATGATAAAACCAGTGTTAAGAAAAATGCATAAAAGGTCACTACTTAGTCTGAATTTCTATTGAACATCACACAAGCATTTGGCAAAGTGAAACATTCAGACTCTGTGAATAGCTGCCTTGTGGATTCATTTTCTACAAGACCAGAATGTAGAAGTCTACATCCCACAGTGGAAAATCTTACTCATCTATTATCTCTGCTAATGAAGCCTGCAAACATGTAGATGCTACAGCTTTATTTAAAAGTGACTTCTGCTAGTACTTGAAATCCTGAATGCTGCCAGGTTGAACTAGGTCATTTTCATACAGCTGCTGACAAGCAGAAACAGAGATGTGGATTCATATAGGATCATAGTAATTATACAGTAACCCTCAGGCACAAGCCACCTTCTAAACATAGAAACCCAGGAAATTTAGCTCTGGACTGTACTGAGTTAATGTTCATACTTGTCTGTTTCCTAGTTTTAATAGTTGTTTTTCTGAGAACAGTTTTTGTGGAAAAACTTGCCAGCTTGCTACACTGGCCACTTGAATTTGCGCAAGAACATGGATGATCTAATGTAAGATTGTCATTGTTCTTGCACAAATACTATGATGCTCCCGCTCAGGGATAAGCCCTCTTGTGCAAATGTATTTGCACAAGAGGGCCAGTGTAGACAGGGGAGGACTATTTTGCGCAAAAAAGCCCCGATGGCAAAAATGGCAATTGGGGCTTTCTTGCGCAAAACTGCATCTAGATTGGCACAGAGGCTTTTCCACAAAAAGTGCTTTTGCGCAAAAGCATCTGTGCCAATCTAGATGCTCTTTTCCGCAAATGCTTTTAGCGGAAAAACTTTTCAGTTGAAGGCATTTGCGGAAAGTCATGCTAGTCTAGCCATTGGGTTTTCCCCTCAGGGAGTCTCCCATGCACAGAGGGAGCTGAGCCTAGCCCTGCTTGCTTTGAAGCCCTTTCTGTCTGTGGAACTGACAGTGCAAAGCTGGAGGATAAAATGTGCTAGAGAAGTGATATTAGCATTATCCTGAATGATGTATGCACAACTTGCCTTGTTGATTTTGAACTAAAGCTAGGAACCCTTAAAAAACTGCATGTTAAGCATGCACAACACAGGACTTTAAATACATACTGGCATACCGTTCTCTATATGAAATGTAGGTATTAACAGTCAATAGATGCAACTTCAACTAAACTTTAAGAGGAGCAGGGCAGGGCAGCAATTCAGCCCTTACCAAGAAAAATATGCACTCTCTGGGGTCTTTGCATGGCAAGATAAACATTACTTAGTCTTGCAATAACCACCCTAATGTTGCCTGTCCACACTTGAGCAGAGAACAAAATAGTGAACACATTATTTATGTTGCAGTAATACCTAAAGACCCCAATTGAGATCAGGACCCCATTGTGCTAAGCACTAGATTCACCTAGTGAGACTCTGCTTCATAGCTTGCAGCGTGAGAAGTGTGTGTGGGGTAAACTGAGGCACAGCAATGTGCTCAAGATCACACTGCAGGTCTCTGGCAAAGTAGAAATTAGAGTGCAAGTCTTCTGATTCAATGGAATGCTCTAGGTTGGCAAGGAGGTGGCAAGACACACCTCCAGCACATGGTTCATCAGAGTTAGCCACTGGTAGGCTGCAAGACTGTTTGTTTACCTGAGCATCTACAGGCAGAGTGCCACAATTCCCAGTGGCTGCAGTTCACCATTCCTAGCCAATGGGAACAGCAGGAAGTGGTGACCCGGCCACTTTCTACAGTTCCTATTGGCTAGGAAGGGCAAACTGCAGATGCTGTGAGCAGCCATGCCTTCAGCTGCTCAGGTAAACAAACAGTCTCAGAGCTTGTGGCATGCCAGAGACTCAGCACCCCCTGCTCTAGCCAAATTTTTTTTTTTTTTAAATACAGAACCCCTGCTACTCACTCCTCACACCTTAACACAATATTCAGAATAACTGCAAAAGGGGCTGGTATCACAAACTAAAGGTTCCATGGCAGCATTAGCGTTTCTCCTTTGCACAGCTGCCGTGTTGTTTTTGGTTTCTGTATACTTCAATTACAGTGGCTGCTGGAAGCAGCCACTGTAATTAAGACTGAAAAATAGTTTCTATTATAACTTTGTTTTCGGATGGGAACATGAAATTTGACACACAATAGCCCCAACATCTCTGGGGAAAGAACACATGACGTTAAATCATTGAGGAAAATCTGAACATGCTCAGTGACATTACTACGTGTTCCTTCCATAAAGCCAGGCTTAAAGGCTGCTGCTCTGAGGTAACTTCCTTCCTACAAACTATCCAGGCTGTAAAGTGTCTGAGGGTGTGTCTACACTGCCAGCATTATTTCGGAACAATTGACATTATTCCGAAATAACGTGGTGTGCATCTACACAGCAAGCCTATATTTAAAAATGGAGAGCTGGAGGACTTCTTACTCCAATTCATGGTAACCCTCTTTTCTTGCTCCTTGTGAAATGTTGAAGGAAGAATGCTCTTCCTTTGACTTCCAGCTCTGTTGACAGCACCTAAAGTCGAGTTAAGCTATTTTGACTTCAACTAAGTAATCAGCACAGCTGAAGATGCGTAGCTTAATTTGACTTTAGACCTGCTGTGTAGATGTACCCTGACTGACACAGCTGAATCCTTTCCTGATGCCCTTAAAATACTAGTGGTTTTCAAGCTGTCTGCATCTGAGAGATTCTTTATAAAAAAGTTGATGAATTTTCACTTCATACAGCTTAATTCAATGCTTTGCATGGTAACAAGTCTCATGCGACTAGCTATGCTTGTTTTTGCAGATAGACTAATATGGGTACCCCTCTGAAACAAGGGTTTCAAAAGAATTTATGCAATGTTAATTTGAGAAACAATAGTGTAATTAAAGGCTGTGCTTTACATACATATGCACAAAAAGAAGAGGAGTTTAAGTCTGAACATTCTACCTTGACTTGTCATTTCCTAGCTTAAAAAGCTTGATTTTCCCCAGTGCAGATTTTTTTTTTAAATGAAGCACTGCATGGATATTGTAGCAAAGTTGACAATAATAGGGGGGAGCCAGCTTTTTAGTTAAATATTTCGCTTTTAAGCTACGATCCCCACTACAGTTGCTAACCCCTCTGGATTGTCTTGGGCTCCAGGAATTAAAGTTTAATCTTTTTTTAATTAAAAATTGTCATGTGATGAAGCCTCCAGAAAAAGGTGCAACCAAAACGGACAACCCTATAAACACTGCTTTAAGGTACTACCTTCTCACATTTCACAGAAGAATGTAGTTAAACTCAGCCATTGTATCATTTTAGTGAGAGAGAGAGAATGAATTACAAGTGAATACAGTAATAGTTGCTACCAATTGAATAACATTCATTTTGTGATCAATACCAGCTCATAATGTTTGCTCATTATTGAGTTTGTTAGCTCACTGTTAACATGTGAAGTAAAGAGGAAAAAACATGCCCAGAGCTGTATGTCGAACAACTTTGTGCTTTTATCTTGCTATGGTAAAATGAAGCACTCTCACTTGCCTCCCTCTGGGCTAAGCAGCAGAAAAAGACTGGACGCTCTTTTGGGCAGGGGACTATCTTTTGTTTGTGTTTTGTAGAGCACCAACACTTCGAAGGCTCTGCCCTTTAATTGACGCACTGTAATATAAACAGTACTAGGTTACACCCAGAGGATGTCCTCGAGACACTTTAGCATAAAAACGAGGCACCTTTCAGCACTGCAATAACAATAGCTAATAGATCTGAATGCTTCCCACTGCCAGCCATTCTCCCCCCACTCACCATGTCACCCTCATCAGACATAGGCAGAGGGATGGAGTGCAGGGTCAGTCTCCAAGACTAGAGTCCTTTCTGTACACAGGCGGCTGACAACATGGTGTAATGGCAGAAAAGTGTGTGTGGGCAGAATGAAGAATCGAATCACTCCACATTTAAGGTCTTAATCTTTATTAAGTATCAAACTGTCTCCAACATAAATTACATCCTGATTATGATAAGTTTCAAGAAACAGATGGCCACTTAAGGACAAATTGTTTTATGTACAATATCTTTGACTTTAGTCTAAAATATAGTATCTTTTATCATTGGATTTATTTTAAACTTTGTAAACATAAAAAGCAGTAAGTAAAACATCAATACCAAATAAAGCATTAAAAAGGTAACAAATATATAATTTTAGAATGCGTTAAGAATGCTAACATTAGTGACAGCCATTTCTAGAATGCAGAGATCTTCTTTGTTAAATCCCTTAGACCATTTCTCGGTTTCTGCGGACAGCACAGCAGAGTATCATACTGAAGATCATGCCAAAGATCTGGAAGAGGAAAGCAGACTCATTTCGCATATTATAAGATAGTTTTTGGGAGCTTTGAAGCACCAGAAAGCCAAAGTGCAGGTGCTCTTGTTTTCCCTAGCCCATGAGCCAAATTACTTCCATAGGGCATGTTCGTTTTTGTAGCTATTTAAACAAGACACCCCCCATTATAAAAGTCACCACCATGACCTCTCTGATCTTAAAGACAAGGGAGGCAAAGAACACTCCTCAGAGAGGAACAGATAGACTGAGGTGCCCTCTGTTAAAATTAAGGTCCTCACCCCATTCTTGGGCAGCAGTGTGTGAAGCAGGTTGTGCAGGTCCACCAACAGGAATTTCGCGCCCCAGGACAAAACACATTCTTCCACTCCCCCATCTCCCTCCCTTGGAGGGAGCCACAAGCCACCCCCACCCCAACGGAGCATGATGCCTCAGAGGACCTTCTGATCAGTCACTGTCCATATCCCACCCGCCTGAAGGTGCCCCTCTCATCCTCCTTCCCCTAACTTCTCCCCCCATTCAGCTTAGCCCCCCCTTTTTTCCAGCTGTCCCTACCTACCCCTATCTGCACCCTTTTGCTCTTTTGCATTCCTAGCCCAGTTCCTCTGTCCCCCTTGACACTTGCTCCCACTTTCTCTTCCCCGCCAGGCTTCCACTGCTCCCCTGTTCCCAGCCCAGCTCTCTCTGCCCCGCTCCCTCTGTCCCACTCCCTCCACCCTGCTGCTCTGTGGACCCGGATGGGACCTCAAAACTCCAGGGAGGTTCTGCCACCACTCAGCTGACTTGAGCGGGACTTATAAAGCAGCAGAGAGCTCCACTCTCTCTGCCTTACTGCTCTGCAGATCTGAACTCTGGGGCTCCCCACAGCTACTGCTACAGCAGCACTATTTAAAAGGCATGGGTCAGAGTTGCCCCCCCTTCATTCCACTGGGCCCCTGGGCAGTTGTCCCCTGCATCCTCCTCTTCCAGCCTGGGTGGGCCTGAGGTTGTGTATGGAAGTGCTGTTGTTCCACCAGTTTCAATAAAACCCTGCATACGGTCTCCAAAGAGTGATAAAGAACAGTTGTTCTTCGAACAGCTTAGCCTCGTTCTCTGCCTGGCACAGATTTACAAGTGCCTGAGCATGATGCTGGCAGGGAGAGAGGCAAGATACTCCAACTTCACACTAATTTTATTTTATATTTTTAAGTAATTTTCTTAGCTCAGGTTTCGGGATGTAACTGGTTGGGTATGTGAACAGCTGGCAAGAAAGGGAACAAACTAGTTTCACTTTTCTCTGGGGTGAGGTGGGAGAGGAAAAAGATGCAGTTTGACTAGAATACAAATATCAGTTTTCAGGGCAAATATAAACGGGAAATTTTTGCTCTTGGATCACAATTCTAGAGAGTCTTTAGAATGAAAGCTGAAAGTACCAAAGCACAGTTGTAAATACCATTTGCTCAGATGGCTGACTACACCGTTTAAATCAATACAAAGCACACTGTGTTGTCCTGAAGTCATAGAGGCAGGATTGTTCTTGATGGCATTTGTGTGTGGGGAAGCATGAGAGGATTGGCTAATGATCATATCACATCTTACATGGAAAAGGCCAATTGCAATCCCCCCCCTCCCCCCCCCCCTCAGATGCCATTGACCTAAAGGATCCCAGGAACTTACCATTACCACAGCAATGCCAATACCAACTGCTCCAATAACATTCAATTTAGAATTAAAGACATCCTCAATGGCTGCAGGGCATGACTGGAAAAAAAAGGGGGGGTGGGGTGGGAGAACAGATAAGCTTATATTTGAAACGGTATTTTAAGATGGGCAGTTTGGGCTTACAAGATTCTGTGGCACTATGAACAGCACTACACCCTGACCTGATCAGACAGCAAATGTTAAGCCTGATCCAATTACAATACACGCAAACATTTATCTCCTGAAAGTGGCCTGCCAAGAACGGGAAAGGGAAGATGGGTTGCCTTTAAAAACAGATGCACAATCCTCTCCACCCCCACTTCTTTTGTATACTAGAACTTTCAGGTTTTTTCTATGGGGTGGGAGAGCCTTATCTGGGGTAGGCTTTTCCCATGCTAGAATTTCCAGTCACTACCCTCAGTCAATGGAATGTGTATACATTACCAGCAGCTACTAAAGTTTTAGCTTCTACTTTTCCTAACCCTGTTTAGAGCAGGCCTCTATAGCATGGTGGTTAAAACTATAGCGGCTGACCTTTGCTAGCACCTGAACTGTTACATTTTAAAACGCTAATATTTTGTGTACATATAACTGCCACCAGGCAGACTGGAACTTAGGGCCTCTGGAGCTTAGAGTAGGAGGAACTACAGCTTAATCTGTAAAGCCAGCTGGTTTTATACCTTTCAGGTATAAGCTTGAGCTCCTACACTAAGCGCCAGAGGCCCAGGTTCAAGTCTGCCTCGTGGCAATTACAAGTAGGGGCTCATCCAGGATCTTAGGTGGTGAGGGTTACCTCTCATGGCAACTGGAGAATCAGTGAAACCAACATTGCAAATGACAAAGCCAAGCAACTGTGGTCTTATCTGTATTCAGTGTTGCACCAAACTAAATGTTAAACTAATTAAACCAATGCAAAGCCCTATGTGGAGTCCCTCGAATAAGCTAAAGCTGTTTAGTTTCCAAATTTAGGATTGAAAGCTCATTTCCCACAGTGATTGGTCCTGTTTTAGGCCAAAAGTTATGCTGAATTAAGGATGCAGTAGTGCGAGTTTCTGTAATCACTTAAACAAAACCAAAAAAAAACCCACAAACAATAGCCACTCCACCTGCCCCCCACAAGAAGCTTTTCCAAGACATCCAATCGACTGCCATTAGCTTAGCTCTGACTTTTGACCTGTTTGGCACCAGTGACCCTACCAGGAGATGTGGTCCCACCAGCATAGCTCTCATTTTATAGGGAAGTCTTACCCTTCAAATTAAACATCGGCTATTTACCACACTAGGGAAAGTTAGTCTTACAATATGATACTGAAAGTTGGAGACATAAGACCCTACCATTTAAACTCCCAAGTTTTCATAAAAGCTATCTTGGACAACTCCTCAATATCATATGGGCATAAAAAAAATTCACACATTAAATAACTCTAGTAAAAGACAGGAAACAACCAAATGGAAATGAGTAGGACATACATTTAGGTAACACCCGCACATCATAAAACAGGCATTAGTCTGAAACTCTCAGGAAAAAAGAAGGGATGAGGTGGGCCCTGGATAAAATGGAAATGCACCATAGACCGTTACCAGAATTACAGAGGAAGAAGCTAAAACTTCAACAGAAGACTGGAAAAGATGGAAGTCAGTGGTGCATGGAATACAGATGCATAAAGGGGGTGGGCGTGGGGAAGGAGAAAGAAAAGAGGCCTGATATTTCAACTTCCTTAGAAACTGGAGAATGTTGCACTCTGAGATATAATTCATACACAAAAATAATTGTACTATTAGTAGAAGCAGACATCAGAGCATGCAATTGTTCAGTCAGTGGAATGCTTATAAGATTTTAAATTCTCTAGTGAGGTCTAAACACTGAGGCGTAAAGAGGAAAAGTTACTTGCTTCTTATTTACAAACACTCTTGCTAATACATCCCAGAATGATGTTTCGAAGTACTCCTGTCCCATTTTGTATATGTTAACTGACTATTCCTTCTCAAGTACTTTGTGTTTGTCCTTTTAGAATTTCATCCTATTTACCTCAGACCATTTCTGCAACTTGCCCAGACCATTTTGAATGATGACCCCATCCCTGAAAGTACTTGCAAGCCCTCCCAGTTTGGTACGGTCCACAAACTTTTAAGCGCATTCTTTATGCCATGATCTAAATTGTTGAAGACGCTATTGAACAGAACCAGACCCAGAACTGATCCCTGCAGAATCCCACTTGTTACACCCTTCCAGCATGACTGCTAAGTAGGGAATTAAAATCCCATTCAATGAGTCAACTGGTTAAGTATTTAAATTTTAACCAATTAACTGATTACATGGTGGCTGCTTCAGCCTGGCTGCTTCCAGTGGGCTAGAGCAGACTGCCGCCTGCAGTTGCTCCCTGGGTACGAGGTAACCGTTAAAGTCTCATGAAGCACCGATAACTACTCTCTGGGAACAGTTACCCAACCAATTATGCACCCACTTTATAGTAGGTCCATCTAGGTTGCATTTCCCTAGCTTGTTAAGGAGAAGTCTCCCTGAAGTCTAGATATACCACTAGCTCGATCAGGGAGGATGAAGACTTCCTCGATATCCTGTCAGAGAAAGCCATCAGTTTGGCTTGACATGATTTGCTCTTGACAGATCCCATACCGACTATTTCTTAGTCACCTTATCTTCTAGGTGTTTGCAAATCGATTCCTTAAATTACTTGCTCTGTCATCTTTCCTGGTACAGAAGTTAAGCTGACTAATCATTGCCTGGATTGTCCTTATTTATCTTTTTATAGATGGGCACTATCTTTGCCATTTTCTAGTTTTCTGGAATCTCTCCTGTCCACCAGGACTTTTCAAACATAATAGCTAAAGGCTCAGGTCTCCCTCGGTCAACTCCCTGAGTTTTTTCAGTATGTATTTCATCAGGCTCCAGTGACTTTAAGACATTTAACTAGTTTAAGTAATTTTTATCTTGTTCTTTTCCTATTTTAAACTTCTGATCCTACCCCATTTTCACTGGAATTCACTGTTAGGCAGCTGATAGCCAGCAACCTTCTTGTTGAAAACCAAAACAAAGAAGTCATTAGGAAAAGCTTCCTAGTTGTCAGGGTGGGAAACCACTGGAATAAACTGCATGAGGAAGTTGTGTAACCTTCATCACTGGAGATTTAAGAGATGGGTAAACACTGGCTACAGATGAAGCTGGTACTTGTTCTGCTAGGAGTGCAGGGGACAGGACTTGGTGACTTTTTGAGGTTCCTTCCAGTCCTATGATTCTATGCTTTGCCATTACCAGACTAGTTGAGCCTCCCTACAGTTAGCAGAGATGCAGAGTCACTTGTATTTATCTGGATACTTGTATGTATAAAAAGTAAGATAACCTGGGGGACGGGAGAAGAAGGGAGTTGTTAGGGAAGGGGATTATTTGGCTCATAGTTCATTATTCACATGCGTACCTCTAGTCTGTTCCCTGTCAAATGTAGGTGTAATGGCAGGGAGACACTATATGCAATGAGTTCAGTCTTCAGTTACCTTAGTTGTAAGAGTCTCAAGTAAGTCCTTTTTGGGGCAAGTGTCCTGGAATGTCTGTTCAAGAACTCCTGTGAAACCACAACAGTTTAGCTACAAGAGAAAATAAAAAAAATCTTTAAGACCTTTGAGATTTTAGATTATCTAAAACAAACACAGGTTACTCAAATAGGAGCGTTTCAAATATTTAAAGTACATCAATAATTTTGATTATGCCACTAAATGCTTTATATTAACATAATATCTTTGTTAGCCTTACATTAAGAGAATTTGAACAAGTCAGGAAGTAAAGAGTTTTTTAACACTAAAAATTACTGAATTCACATGTACCACCAAAAAAAAAAAAAAAAAAAAAAAAACCCCCTCATCAAAACTATTGTATAAGTGACAACATTGCTACAGGAACCTTAATTTCTAATGTTCCGTTTACATTTTAAAATTTTTTTAAAAGAGCTTGTTCAATAATTTGGTTGGCTTGTGTAGTTCCACATTAGTCTGGTGCCATTTTTGCACTGTTTACACATCCTGTTCCATAGCACTATGGATACGCATCTAATGTAACAGAGTCATTGCATTGTACCCAACAATGATATGCATCTTGTCAGCAAAAATTGCAAAATTGGGCTCAAAGATAATCCTGTAATCTAAAACATGATTTATGTTTTTTTCTTCCCAGTCTTAGCCGTGAAACTTCCTCTGAGAATCAGTGCCAAATTTTTAGATTAAAGATGTGTGAACAGTTTTTTTTTGTAAACAAAAAGTAAGTTTCTCAAATGGTAATGGCTCAAATGTAAAGAAACACATTAATTTGGGCCAAGACCAAGTATATGAGGCATCCTTAATTCCTGACCCAAAGGAAAAAGTTTTCAGATGTTCACCAAAAAATGTAGGGACCGTGAGGGCATGTTTACACCAGGCAATTATTTCGAAGTAGTTCTTACGGGAGTTATTTCTTCAAAATAAGTTATTTTGAAATATTGTGTCCACACTACAGCGAAGCCTTGTAATTAGTCTGAGGCAGGCTCCCTTAATGTGGACATACTACCTTGACTTAAGAGCCCCAGGAAGAACCGGGGAGTAAATACTCTGAATGACTCTGGGGAGTATTTATTTCAAAATAGCAGCTGTGGAGTGTCCACATTAACACTATTATTTCAAAATAAGTGTTATTCCTTGAGGAAAGCAGGTGTTATAATATCAAAATAACCAGCCCTTTATTTCAAAATAATGGTCTAGGTAGTGTGGACGCTCCGCTCGTTATTTCAAAGTAACTCCTTAGTGTAGACCAGGGCTTAGAGTTAAAATCTTTTTAACCTTCACTATACAGTCTTTGCTACCAGGTACACCATGATTAGGAGACTACCCACACAATGCAGTTTTTTTTTAAACTTGGTTTCTTTTCAAAGTCTGCCATCTCTCTGTAGACCAAACTTGCTGAAACTGAAGGTTAGACATCATAAATAAGATGGGATATTTCACTTCATTCTTAATGTATTGTCTGGCTTTTAAAAATAGACATTGTATGCATTTAAAAGAAATAAGTGTGATTGTACACTTACCGCATGTTGAAATGCTCTCAAGGTTTCTCTAGCTGCTGGCTGGCTCCTCTTATCATAGGTTTCTTTGTAAAATTTCTTGACTTCGCCAATAATCTATCAAAATACAGAAAAGCTATAATCCTGTTTTAATCTTGATTTATGGTATTTATTTTTTGTCCTGAAGAAGTTTTTTATACTTAAATCTGCTATTTTACTGTTTAAATGTTCCATCCCATGAAGAAGTAATCACCCTCCTAAAAACTCAGTCCTATGCACCTCTAAAAATATGCATGAACCTTAGAAAAGCAAGGAGATAACTAAAGGAGGAATTGAGAGGATAGGTATAGCAAGATAAGAGTTACAACAGTGAAAGATTGTTATGGATACATCATGCAGTTCTTCCAGGTTCTGTTTTTTCTTCAATATTTGACTAAGTAAGAAGATACCCGCTTTAGAGTGTACCTCTAAATCTTGAGGGAATTTGAGGGGGCTGAAAACATGCCTCCTTAGATACTTACATCTTTAGGCCCATATCATGCAAGCACGTATGTGCCTGCTTACCTCTGTGCATTTGAGTACTCCTGTTGAAGTTAATAGACCTACTTACAGGCCTAAAGGGCATGGCTACACAACCTGTTGCAGCTAGCCTTTGAGCCTGGATCAACAGGCTTGGGCAAGCAGGGTTCACACCAGTGGGCTAAAAATAGCTGAGTATATGTTGCATCTTAGGTTGCATTTTGGGCTCTGAAGCTTAGTTAGATGGATGGACATCAAATCCTGAGCCACAACTTAAAAGCACTGATGACCCAGCTACTTTTAGGGTATGTCTAGATTACATGCCTCTGCCGACAGAGGCATGTAAAATAGGCTACCTGACATAGTCAATGAAGTCGGGATTTAAATATCCCTGGCTTCATTAAAATAAAAATGGCCACGATGCTGCATTGGCTCAGTTGATCGTTGGCACAGCCATTTTTATTTTAATGAAGCCGGGGATATTTAAATATGTCAGCAGAGGCATGTAATCTAGACATACCCTTAGAGTGCCACTGCTCTGTTGACCCAGGCTGGGAGACTTGCTCCTTTATAGAAAAAGGTTGAGAAACTCTGATCTAAAGTACCTCTTTAAAAAAAAAAAAAAGTCTAAGTATAGTAGAGTCCCAATTATCCTACCTAAACGGGACCGACAGGTGGTCAGATTACCGAAAATGTCAGATAATAGGGAGTGCAGGGAAGAAGGGATAGCTGCCAGCGCCGCTTGTTCCCCATCCCTGCAGCTCCCAGGCACAGGGACATTCTCCCGGCCCACACCCGGGAGCTGCAGGGAGGGAAGGGGCCAGGCAGGGATGGGGACCAAGCGGCGCTGGCAGGAGGCTCCAACCCGTGGGAGGCTGCTGGAGCCTCTTCAGCCAGGGAGGCTGCATGCAGCATAGCAATCCAGGGCGGCTGGCCTTGAGGGCCGCATACTTGCGCTGCGCTCGGCTGACAATGTTCCCTCAGCTATGTCAGAGAAAGCAGAATGTCGGATTACCAAAGGTCGGATAACCTGGACTCTACTGTACCCCCAGTACCTACAGTTTTCAGACACAAATTTTTTTTTCTACCATTGCAACACATTTGTTTAAACAATAGCCGGGCAGGTGATGAAATTTTTGGTGTCAAAAGTACAAAAATAATAAAGCATTGTAAACTTTGGAAAAAAAAAATCAGTTTTCTCCAAATTTCAGTTGTGTTGATGTACCCGCCAGACTTTTCTCGAGTACTCCTAAGGGTACTTGCACCACTGGTTAAGCAACAATGCTTTAGATGTACAGGCAGTCCCCGGGTTACATACAAGATAGGGACTGTAGGTTTGTTCTTAAATTGAATTTGTATGTAAGTCGGAACTGGTACATATTGTAGGGGAAACTCTAGCCAAACATTTCTCCAGAGCTCAGTTTTATTCTCCCACACCTCACTTCCCTCAGTCCTTTATTCTCAAGCTGAGGTGTCTGCTGAGAAAAGCCGCTCCACATATCCCTGGTTTGCTGGGGGGGGGCAGCTAGTGCGGGGTTGCCTCACC